AAAAAAAAAAAAAAAAAAAAAAACAAAAAAAAAAAAATTAACAACCATAAAACGTTACCGCAATATGGATCAAAAATTATAAACCATTACAATAATAATATATGTATTAACACGCGCGCGTATTGGACAACGACCGGTGTAGATTTTTTTCAAAAAAAAAAACCACAAACCTTTCGAAATTGTCCGTATACTATTATTGGTTTTTTGCCGACTATCGGTTGCGGCGTTAAAATTGTCGCAATTTGTTTCAATCGCGCGGGCCGCCCGATCGCCCCCCACCGTCACGCGTCGCCGACGCGTGACGGTAACCCCGCGTAAAAACCGTCGTCCGTCCCGCCCGACCCGAGCGCGATTGCCGCGTCCACCGAATTCAGAAGAGTCCGCGGAAAAACCCTCGGCGATCCAACGACAGGACAAGCGGCGGGCGCGTGTTCCCGCCCGGCGCATTCCCCGCCGCCGGGTCGGCGGTTCCCCCCCCTCCGCCGTCCGCGTACCGCAGAGCCCGTTTCTCGTCGCGGGCAGCAGTGTGGCGGCGGTGGGAAACGCACGTGGCGCGAGCCGGTATCCGCGGGAAACAACTACGGAAAATAGCGCTACGAGTAGCGCATACAGCACGCCCGAAGAAGACCCGCCAACACAACAATGCCGTTTTTTTTTTTCTTCTCCCGAACCGCTCCGCGGCGTCACCGGCGCACGATACGTCTGGCAGGCAGCTCAAACGCAGATTCCGTACCAAAACCGTCGCGCGCGCTCTGTCCGTCCGTCCGTCCGTCCGTTCCCGCGCGGTCGTCACGCGGCCCGCCGGATCGGATTTCCGGTGGCGCAGATATCACGGGGCGTTCGGCACACGTCCCTTTCGAAAATGCCCGCGTACTCGTTGTATCCTTTTACGTTTCTCGGGGACCGAAATTGCGCGCGCGCCACCACCCCCCCACCCCAATAAACATACCGAGAATACGACCGCTTTTGTACGAAAACTGCGCTTCGGCGCGTCCGGAAAAAGGGATTTTTTCTCCCGCCGGCGAGGTATTAGCCAAATTAATTTTCGCGATCGCTGCAAAGTGTACACGTATACATTTCTGACGCGATTACGAGCTCAGAAAAAGCGTGGGGTACGTACGTTCAAACACTATTTATATAAAAAATGTACAACCGCAGAATACGGTAATTATCATCGTGGGCAGATTGAAACGAATTGAAAAGTTAAAAAAAGTTCAGTTAGTTTTTTTAATTTTAACCGGATTATAATTTTTTAAATTTTTTATTTTTTTTTCATTACCTTAGTAAACTAACGAATTCATTTCGAATTATTTCTCGTAGATTTTTCTCAACAAATATGAAAAACTGAAAAAAAAAACGTTTGAAAAACAGGAAAATGTAAGTAATGTAGGTATTAGCTAAAAATATTATGGCCTTTTTTCTCCGCGCACAACTAATTTACCAGCAATTTTGCACCAATCCGCAATGACAGCAATGTTTCTAAAAGGAAATCCGATTGAGGAGGTACTTTAGATCATTTGACTTCGAGTCATTAATCGATTTTCTCAGTTTTCACGGCAAATGTGAAAAACCGCAAAAAAAACGTAGAAACCGGGGAAAATCGGTACAAATATTATTGAAAAACATAAAACAAAGCCTGTTTAATTATTTTACTATACAATTGCACATATATTGTTGAACTCCGCTTAAAATCGTAAGCAATGGTTTATTGTTACTCACGAGTATACATTAAATTACCTATAGCAGTGGCTGCACCCGTCCCCATTATCCTAGGACGTCTTTTTTATTAGTAAATATGAAATAAGAATGTTTTTTTTGTTTGTTTTTTAGACTTCATACAATGTTTACTCTAGTTTTTCTTAAACTTTATTAAATGATAGAATTGCAAAGTTTGAAAACTTATATTCTACTTTTTTTTTAATATCCGCAGTTTTCAGGTTGATTTAGGTAATTTCCCTTACTCTTTTTTTTAATATATTTTTTTTCATAGTATTTCTTATTTTCATATTAACAAGATTTTTCGGTAATACGGGAGATAATTCACATATATTTATATATATCATACCTATTATTTATAACCTTTGGTCGAGACGGCGGAAATATTTTAAAAAAATATTATCACGAATTTCGATCACTAAAATCACAAGAACAAGACGGATGACCGATTTCGGAAACAGACCGTATTTTAGATTCTGCGAACAACTTTGCTACCGGAAATGTCGCGTTGATTATCAAGCGAAGCGCTTTTTCCGAAAGAAAATCTGACCGGGACATATCGTGTCCCGGCAAACGGGAAACACCGGGAACACCCGTAAGAAACACGGGAAAACGTTTAAAAACGTGTAAATCCGGACCGCCGCTCAGAATCGTTTTTCGGTTGGCGCAACGCAATAACAGCAATGACCGGTTGTTAACCGTCGCGCGCCGATCGAATACACCGAGTTCCCCCCGTCCACGCGTCGCCCGTTCGAACACGTCCCGCCGCTCCGCGACAACAGTGGCCCACCCGCCGCCACCGTACGACGTACCGTCCGTGGTCCGGTTACACCGCGCACGTTTTCGTGCACGTTTCGACAATACCCCCCCGACGTGGATGATTTTGTGGACGTATTTTCTGGCGGCGGCGGCGGCGTTTTCACGCGTGGTGCACACCGCCTGCGGACTCACGCGGAGTCACTCACGTCGGACGACACGACGACATCGTTACCGCGATCGTTACCCCTACGACGGGGTCCGGCGCGCGAACGCCGCGAATAATCCGCGACGACGATGTTTATCGAACCGTCCTTCGGGTTTTGACCGGGCGGCGCTCGATGATACCCGCCCCCCCCCTCCCCACTAACACACACGCGAACATAATTAACGGTAATATTTCAATCGCATTCGGCACCGCCGGGTTTCGTTTGATGGCCGGCTTTTGTTCGTACGCGACGGCGGTACGGCATAACAGACGACGACGAACGTTACGTGTCATTGGATACCCACCCGTTGAGAGACAGTGTTACGGAAAGGCGGTCGTGCGAACTAACGCGACCCGGGTGTACGCGTGGGCGCTGTCTGTACGTTATTGGGATGTCCGCCTATTGCGCGCGGCTACTTACTAGGGGCGAGGCGGACCCCGAGAGCCGAGCGGAAATCGAACCCCGCCGCGGTTATTGTTGTTGTCGTGTCAGCGTCCGGCGTACGACGACACGCGTATCTATACGGGGTGCGCCGGTCGGGCTCATTAAAATCGCGTTCGAAAAAGGGAGACGGGGAAAAAAAAAAAAAAAAAACCGTCGGCGCTTTTGTGGAAATCGCGAAAACCGGGGCCGGCCGGTAAAACCGTCGCGCGCGCGTTTCCGTAAATTTTTCGCTCTCGCTGCCTGCCCCTGCCCGCCTCCGTGTAAAACGTGAGTAAGGCGATAAAATCACATATAGTTAACAATAATAAAATATAGTTGAAAGTTTACAATCAGAAAAAAAAAAAATTTAAAAAAAATAAAATTGTTTACCAAACATAAATACTGGGAAATATATATTGTTGACAAAGAATCACTAACAACTGATCTCCGCTCAGAATAGTTTTTTCATAAGCAACGGTATAACGTTCCTTATAGGTATACATTAAATTATCTATGACAATGGCTGCACTCGTCCCTATTATCCTAGGTCATCTTTTATTATTTTATAATTTATGTGTTCAAACTTGTAAATTACCTTAATGCTCTACGGTACATTTCAACCCGCTCACCAATAACAGTAGCCTAGTCATGAGCAATATCTTTTTGTAACAACATTTATCAGATTGTTTAAAGATCATATATTTATTGATATATCATCCTTCTAAGTTTAGTGTCTAAACTATACATTTTTATTGAATAATTATACTTATAATCGAGTAATGCTACAAGTGATTTTTGTTGGGCAGAATAAATTTTAAAGGCCGCCTAATATTTTCCAAACAATCAAATAATAATCAGTTGGAATTTAAAAAAAAAAAGAAAGCTTTAGTCAAATTATAATAAACAACGAATTACCGTATTGATAGTTGATCTTCGTTTGAAACAGTATCATCTTGTTGAGTCGAATAGTTGTTCGTAACTGCGTTTCTAATTAAAAAAATAACATTATAAACCGACTGAATACTCAATAAAATTTCAATAACTAACTTATTTGTAGCTAAACGTTTACGTGAAGCCATTTGCCTAGACGATCGACGTCTTTTTACAGCGGGGGTTCTTGTCACGGGTCTTCCTCCTGCACAAGAATAAATATGGAAAAAAATTACATTAACTAAAAGAAGATGTTTCAAGGTGCATTCGTACTCGGTGATTTAGGCACACGACGTCCTCTATGGGGCTGTAGATAATGGCGAGAATCCATAGTCGATATATTCTGCATCTGATCATAACAAACCAATAATATATTGATTGAAACAACAAATATATAAATACGAATTCAAGTAAGTACTCTATCCTCAGCGGCACAACTAGTGGTGGCTACGAGGAGAGAGCTCGACCCCACTATAGATCGTCTGAACACCCCAAATAAAGTTTATTTAATATTGCGGCGGGGATCAAACCCGCTGCCCCAAGGTTTACGAGCCGACTGCACCGCCATTTATCCATATAAAACGCACATTAGATATTTTTATCACCGGTCAGTGCTGTGGCGAAAACTATTACAAAAATGTCGGTAATAATTCTATCGATAAAATATGTTGCGAGAAAAGTCGTCCGGCGCGAAAACCCTTCATTAAGATTGAATCTGATCGCAAAAACGACATCCGCAACAACGTTTCTAAACATCGCTATTATCATTATTATACAATAATATAATTAGCATTAATCAGTTTAAATTATATATTACTTGATTTTCGAAATTCGAAGGGTTGTTTACTGGCGATAAAGGATGCATATCATTCAAGTAAACGGTCTGGGGCTCTGCTAAATCGATAAAAGAACGAACATGGACCTTGTGCTCTTTGTTCAGCATTCTGAATAAGTTTTTTACGTTTTCGTTTTCGGCAGAAGGCCGTTCGGCTACGGGCGCGGGCGGAGTATTCGTCACAACCTAAACGTAATCCACGCGTTACAATAATAAATGGAACGATACATTTAACTGTATCACTTCAAAATGGGTAAATTGAAAATGTCTTACTTCGAACGACCGTTCGGGATGCTGCAATATGGTACTATAGAAATTTATTTTGTCCAATGTAATTCCAATCGGTTCCAATGGCCTCGGCGCGTTTGAACCCGACGCACGGGGTGAAGAATTTTCGGCCTGGTAATCGTTCTCTTCGCCTTTGTTACAAGTAAAATTGTTGTTAAAATTACGCGCCGCGAACGTGTATCCGCGTCGGAATGTCTACGAAACGTGAACGTTCCCCTCCACCCTCACTCCCCCCCCCCAGAACACCCGCCCCGCCGCGAAAATTCGGGAACGACATTGCGATGTTGTTCGTCATTGTCCGGGCAGATAACCGTAACGTAACGTACCGCAACGTACGGGGTCGTCGGACGCCGCGGGCACGGCGACCGGTTTCTCCCGACCGGCAAATGTTTTCATCGCGGCAATCGAACGGAGCGCGCGTCCAATGTTAACGCGCCGAAAACGGTACACGGGGTTTTGCGCGGCGGCCGATCCGCAGGTAGGCAGACGACGGACGGGACTGTTACACCGACAGCGGAACCGCCAACCGCAAGGAACTCCGGAACGCGCGCGCGCGCCGACTCATTGGGTCCAGTCCGCGGGAAATTATCGCCCCGCGGTTCGGCGGCACGGATGGTTATCACGCGAACCCGCGCGCGATATCGAGCGCGCGCGCCGTCAAAATCCGTACACGACGGTTGGTCCGTCCGGGTATTGTGCGCCAACACGAATACGGCGCGATTTCACTAGGTACCCCCCCCACCGCCACCACCGCCGCAGCCACCGCCGCCGCCGCCGCCACCCGCGGGCGTGCCGTCTTTAACGCGCGGGAGACGACGGTACTCGTTTTGTTTTTAACCGGAGTACGCGAAAAACTGTATCCCCATAGGCGCAATTTCAGTTTTTAACTTGGAGGGGCTCAATAGTTTCAAACGAAACAGATCCGCATCTGCCCCCCCCATNTAGTTATCTCACCAATTTTCCCGCATGAATTATGGATCCATTAATAAAACTAAGAATATTTCTATTAAAACGAATAACATAATTTAGGTATTCAAAAACATAACGTATACAATTTGAAACACTTAATTTTTATCCGTTATAACTGAAGGGTTTTTAATAATAGCGGAACGACACTTCGAAATAAGTATGTTACAAAAACGATACATGAGTATTGAACATATAAATTTTCAAACTCGTAAACCGATGCACCGATGAGCAATAGCGCTGCGACTATGGTTATTAGTTTTATCTTAGATATTAAGACCGAATACGTGGGATTTATTGTGAACATCAGAACCGATTCTAAAAATACACCATGCACTATCAGTTTATTGGCCATTGAACACGGTCTCCTGGAAGTGTGGGGTATACGGTACCTGCGCATATTGCACGTCGCGTACGGGCGTACGTAAAATAGAAACGAAAAACAAGCCAAGTTTCTGTAATATGGGTAATACCCGCGAAGCCACAAAGGACCAACACCCAAAGGTTTATAGATAATAATAACCTATAAACCCGGCTAACACCATACGTATATTTTATATCGTATATATTTTCTATGACTAACACTATGTACATTAGATAATTAATGAAGCATTTAATACTTAAATACAAATTTTTGGAGGGGCTGAGCCCCTCCAAGTCCCCCCCGAATTGCGCCTAAGTGTTATACCGTTTCTCTTTTACTTTTTTGAAAATTTTAAATAATAATAAATAAATACGCGGGAGGAAACAACATTTGTTTAACATTCGCCTTTGGAAACGATTTCGATGCGTATACGTCTGTAAGTTAGTTATTAGCACGCCCGCGCGCTTTTTGAGCCGATTCTATATCCGTGATCGGATATAGAATAGAAAAAAAAAACAAAACAACGTATACGAACGGAGTGACGGTGCTATGGGCAAAACGGGCAGAACGAGTACACGCAACATAAACACACCGGGCAATTCTTTCGGGGGAGGGATTTTTTTTCGTTCAATGGAGGACGACCCAAAGCGGAAAGTTTTTTTTGGATTTTTATATCCGATCGCCGCACGGTATACGGGTGGGAGGGGGGTGGGTAGGTAGGTAGGTAGGTACATTCGCGTCCGTCCGGTGCATTCGGTGACGGTTTACGAAAATTAACCCGCCGGCCCGACCGCAACAAACCCGCTCGTCGGTTTCGCACGCGTTTAACAGAGGGACATATTAATTCCCATCGGGTATCGGGGGTGGGGAGGGGTGGACGACTTGTTCGCGCGGCACGTTAACGAGTATACGGCGGACGACAATCGCTCCGCCCGCCCTCATCACTCGCCTGTCCCGTTCGGCAGGCGGCCGATTTCGAAACGCGCGGACGGCCGCGTTCGGGGCCCCGAGTCACGCGAGACCCCGGGACAACGTCTCGCACACGGGGCACGCACCCGCCGCCCGCGACCAAACGCGATCCCCCGACGCGCGCACGCGGGCGATAGGCGAGTTTCTTCGTTTGCGGTTGGTTTTTTTTTTTATTTTGGCCGCGTTTACCCGGCGCGTCTCCTGACCGAACACGCCGAACCCGGCGACGGGCAGCTTCAAAACTGGACGGGGCGCGAAGAGCGGCCGTGTATTTTATTTTTTTGTTTTTTTTTTTACCGCGGAAAATCAACACGCCTGCCGTCGATGTCTCGGTACGAGCGACGACTCGGCGACGGCCGATGCGTGCGTCGTTGTACAGCGTCAAGAGTTGCGTATTACGCCACCCCGGGTATTTTGCGACCGAGTCGAGAAAATCACCACATCTGTACGCCGTCAACGAACGCGCGAACGGATCCCGGGAACAACACTCTACACACACTTCCGTTGTGTCCAAATAAAATCGGTTCGCTCTCCCCCGACCGCGCAAAGAGATCTATCGATTTCGTCCGTATCGACTCCGGCCGTGTTATTCCCCCTGCATTAAGCGGACACGTCCCGGTAACACCGGTACGGCGCGAGCACACGAAAATGGCGAAGCACGTTTAGACCGGTACTCAGTAGTTTACGGTTTTGTAGAAGAAAGAAAACCCCCGACGTACCTGACCCCCCGCCGCGTAATTTTAAATAGATCTCGGCGCCTCACTCACCCAGGTCCGAATTCGCGTTCAGATAGTCGAGCAGCTCGTCGTCCACCTCTTCGAAGTCGAAGACGATGAACTTGTCGTTGAACAATCCTTCGTTGGAGCTCATGGCGATGAAACGCGGGCCGCGGACGAACGGGACGGATACGGTTGAACGTTCGACGTGGATTCGATGCGGGAATGCTGTCCGTGACGGGGAGCTGCACGCAGACGGGTCGCTGGCGAAATACTGTGGCCCCGGCGCGGGTATCGCGGACGTTTTATAACATCGGCGGCGACGGCGAAAAATAGTTTTCGTCGGCGGCGGCGGTTTTTATAATAACGGCCGGGGATTACCCCGGGTACGCGGTACGGTTTTATGGGCGGGCGACGCGAGTGCCGATACGGAACCCACGGGCGAGTCAACGTTGTCGACCGTCCGCACAATAACGGAACGCGTCACGCGTCGATCGTCGCCGGTATCTCGCGGCCGGCCGGTTTCGGCGTTATCGTCCGGCGGCGCGGCGGCGGATGGGAGGGGGCGGAGGGGGGTGAGGAAATCCCGCGGCGCAAATTTAGCGTCGCCGCGTTTATCGAAAGCGCGGGTCGGCGGTAAACGTTCGGGTTTTGTTATCGCTGCGCCGGCAACAACGAAAACAAAGGCCTCCTCCTCCCGCCCGCGAACCGCCCGGCGTCGATTGCGACGGTAACAATAACACCGGCCGCGATTCCGACGAAATCCGTTCTCGGAACAATTATTGCTCGGCGGAACGCGCGTCCGAAACAATAATCGGATAACGTCCGCCGGGCCGGATCGACAGGGTGTACGGAACGTGCAAGATCGGTCGGCGGCCCGTCCGTTGTCGCCGCCGACGACCGCACAGCGTAAACCGCGCGAACGTCCGGCCGAAAGTCGCGACACGAAACACCGCGCCGGGGTCGACAACGGCGCACGAATCGGGCCGGGCGGCCCGGGTAACCGGTCGTTTCGGTCATTTCCGACCGCCGGGATTGTCACCCGGCCCGGTCCACACAGAAATGCCCGTGGACGACGGCCCGCGCGCGCCGTGCAATCCGCGTAGTCGAACAGAGCTGTCCGCTGTCGATTAACCAGCGGGACGTCCGCGAAAACGCACTCGCCCCGAGTACGGGAAACGCGCCGACCGGTTGGCGCGCGCGCGTGTGTCCCGCGGCACTCCGCCGTCGACCGCCAAGGACGCCGGGGACGCGCGGTGAGACCGCGTCGTTTCGGCCGCTCGGCGGCCCGTAACATTCGCTCCGGTCGCGATTGCGTTTTCGCGTCCACTCATGTCCGCCCGGTCCCCATAATACGCCCGGTTTTTTTTTTTTTTTTAGCGAACGCGAAAACGCAGACACGGCCCGAGAAAAACGAACGTACGAGGGAAAGAGAAACCCCCTGTGGCCGGAACAAAGGGAAACGCAGAGGCGATCGAAAAACGCGTACGAATCGGAGACTGGCTTCCGAGTCCAATGCGATTGACCGTCGATCGATTAACCGTCCGTCCGAGGTCGGTCAAACGCCGATTAGCAGTTAGCTTCGTTATCCGTTCCAAGCCGTCGAATTCATTGTTATCGATTATTTATGTTTCCAAAACTCATATTTATTGTGAATTCGTTACATAAACTGTCACGTGACCGAGTTTTGATCCCGATGTTACATCAATAAATTATTAAATACGCGCTGCAATTTTGACGACAATTCCGATTTCGGGGATGAGGAATTTAAAATTTGGCCGTTTTAGTTGCTTTTCCGCGGGCGGCAACAAAGAGTATTCCGACCTGGAGAGACGACGAATGTTTTGATCGACGTCGATTATCAATGAGTACAGTTCGTTACCCCCCCCCCAGTAGATGCGATCCGCGACCGTATTTATTCGCGTACGGATTGGTATATTTGCAATTTGTAATACACTTTAAAGAAGTAGAAAAACTGAGAGACCAGTTTTTCTACGATATAAAATCGAAATTCCGTAAAATTAATAGTAGTACGATTCGTCAATTAATGTAATTTTAGGATGGTCGGAGAAAATTTGAATTTAAAAATCTAAAATATCAATAACGGAAAACCGAATGCAAAAGCAGGGAATAATTATTATTTCGGTAAAACGACAGTATAATTGGTGATAACTGATAAGACAGATGATCCCGCAGACCGTGATACAACAAAATGAAAACGTCGTGTAATGACAAGCCGCATCGTTTGTTAATCGTTGATCGACTAACCGTAACCCGATCGGCCACCGTACGACACACGGAGGTCTAATCGACGGTTAACATTTGATCGTCGGTGAACTGATCGCTGTTTAACCGTTGAAAAAAAAAAAAAAACCGCATAAACTCGATTCGGTTTATGTGGGCGATTTGTTGTATTTGATCGCGGCGCTAGAATACACGCACACGAAGGGCTGGGAGGGGGGAGGGGAAACGGTAATAGTAAAAAAAAAAAAAAAAGGACAACTGTAATATTTGTTCTCGGTCGAATTGATACGCGGATCGAGTTTTGGGTATATAAAGATCGCGGTCAGCGATATAACAAACGTTTGCATATTAAAGGTTTGATATGGTTTTAATGCAGTCCTGGAACTTTAAAACTGCAATGCTGGACATTTTAGTTTTTGCTGGACTATCGACTACCACGGCTGTCCCGCGCCCGGCGTGCCCCCGGCGAGCCAATTTTTATTGTTTATTATTTTGCCGGTGTTCGTATGCGATTTTGGCCGTGTCGGAGTTCAATGAAAACAAACAGGCGGAAAGCGGGCGGGTTCGCCTACGCCGGACTAAATGTGTTCTATTGCGAATTTTTTACTGCGTGAATGTAACAGTAACGGTAATGGCCACGAGAGTTTTCTCTTCCGTAACGCCAATGTAACATTCGAATAAATAAGAATGAATCAATAAGCGATCAGACGCGTCCGTACCGAATACACCGAAAACACCTATTTTATCCCCGGGGAGGTGGAATTTCCGAAAATCCCTTCTTAGCGGACGCCCGCGTCGTAATAGCTATGTGCGTGCCGGATTTCGGCCCGATCCGTCCCGTGGTTTGGGCTAGGCGATGATGAATCTGGTCAGTCGGTCAGGACATGTTGTTTTACACGTACACGGATTATCGTTTTTCCCCGTGGCCCTTCGTGCGCGTTCAAAAACGACTAACAATATGATCCGGGTTTCCGTCGTGTCCGTGCGATTGTGTTGATCGAAAATTGTTACAACAAAAATCATTGCCATTTGAACCGTAATGAGGGTGGGGGGGGGGCGCGGGGGAGAATGGAAGCGACGAGTTTCCGTCTTTATCTCACGCACGTGCGAGACATAGGGATTCGGACGCGTTTCGGTTTCATTTCCAACGTACCGATCGGTCTATTGAAGCGATGAGAATTCTGAAAGCAGACTAGTATTTGCCGTAAAGTCCACTTGATATCGACTTTTCCACATTTTAAATGTATCGCTTTGAATTCTGAAAACAGCCTTTGTAAATAAAAGAGTAATTGAAAAAAAAAAAAAAATGGAATATATTAATTTTATGAGAAATCCAAATCGAAAATCAAAAAAGTGGGAAAGTTGATTTCAAGTAGACTTCGCGGTAAATTAAAATCTGCTTTCAGAATTCTTATCGCTTCACTAAATCGGTCGGTGCGTTGGAAATAAAACACGTCTAAATTTCCATCTCACGAGTGTAACGCAAAGACAGCAACTCGTCGCTTCCAACCCCCGTAATGGGATTTCGTTGACTAAGTATATAGACTTGCGTGTCACTTCATGCAAGAGGGTAACGAAAATAGTCCGTCTGATAAGGTTGAAGCGTCAAGCGTGTGCCCATTTTGTTAACCAGACTAAACAGCTTACAAAACAAACAATTGCAACGTTTCGTACACCTTCCGCATCGGAAAAGTAATTTTACTAGTATATATTATATTTAGTTGTATTTATGCAGTAATTCAACATTTTTTTTTAAATTGTATGGTTCGCGTGTGCAATGAAAAACAAACGTTTTTTATATTACAAATTTTCGTGTTTTTGTAATAATTTCGGTTTTTATGGGCAGCCGCTTAATTTGGGCAACCGGGGAATCCACCGTATTACAATATTCCTGTGTTGTATACGGAAAATCGCCTCTCGAGAGGACTCGGCAGTTTCGGTTTTCGAGAGTGCGAGATGTGGGATGGGGACGGCGAGAGTTTTGACCGGCTAGCAACGAAAATCGAAAGAAGAGAAAAAACAGTTAGCCGACACCAGCCGATACCCGGTCCGACGATGACAAGGAGGGCAAACGTCTCCCTTGACCCCCGGTGCCCAGCTCCCAGACGACGCCATTTGACGTGATAATATTAAGTCCAGTCTCAGTCCGAATACCGGGTGACGCAGCGAAATCTTAATCTGGACCACGTAGGACCAGATTAATTTCGGAGCGAAACCACCGATTACAAAATCAATGGAAAAAAAAAAAAAAAACGATATTTCGGAGAAAACAAGACGGTGCGTTTTACGATCGTTATTCGTATATTCTAAATATTATTTCAAACATAACGTAAAAACTATGAAAATACAGTCCACTTCTAACATTATAATGGACTGTACCACTCGATTTTATCAAACTTGAACGAAGTTTACGCAGTCGCTGTTGTTCAATACATTGGGACGGTAATCTCATTGTTATTATTAATATTGTGTAATCCAAACGATAAGCCTATCGTAAAACTATTAATCGACCGGCTCGGGCTCGGGACATTTCAAAAGAAGAAGATAAGGGAATTATCGCCAACCGACTTTCCTTCGCCGGCGCAACGACTCGGCGGCAACGCTATTTTTCGTAATATTTCGTATTGCACACTTTTTAGTTTAGACCATAAATTCATGGTCACAAAATAAAATTTGCCCCCCCCCCACACACCTTTAAATACAGTTATTTCTCTAATTTCTCTTCCGTTTATAGTTTACGATTTTTTTCTTTCTTAATATTTCCAGGTTAAAACTTTATCAATGTGAAATGTACGGGTTATGTTCTTAGAAAAAAAACAAAAGTAAACTTAAAAAATAAACATTGCACAATATCAACTGGTTTGTACTTTGTTCATACGTTGTTCTTTCAACAAATCCGTTTAAAATAATTAACGTTCCTCTGGGTTCAATCTCTCGTTCGGAGTCGGTAAACTAATTACAGCAAGCATTAAGATAACAAGTTTTTGGAAAACATCATAATAACAAATAACGAATTTTAAAATACGT